TAAATTGAAGGGAGAGGGGAGAGAGGGGAGAGGAGAGGAGGGGAGAGGAGAGGAGAGGAGAGCAGAGGAGAGGAGAGCAGAGCAGAGTAGAGTAGAGCAGAGTAGAGTAGAGTAGAGTAGAGTAGAGCAGAGCAGAGCAGAGCAGAGGAGAGCAGAGGAGAGGAGAGGAGAGGTGAGGAGAGGAGAGGAGAGGTGAGGTGAGGTGAGCAGAGGAGAGGAGAGGAGAGGAGAGGAGAGGAGAGGAGAGCAGAGCAGAGCAGAGGCTGATTGAGGAGGGCAGGGGAGTTACCGTTGGCTTGCGGGGGTTCGAGTTCCTGTTCTTGCCCGCCTTACCCGCGCCCTCCTCCTCCTCCCTCACCCTCCCATCTCTGTCAACGTGCCCGCGGTCGACAACCCAGCGAACGATGTCGACGAAGTTCATGCTGGAAGCTCTTCGGAGGATTTTGAGCCAAACAGAGTCCCCTTCCTCCTCCTCCTCCTCCCTGCCTCTCTCCTCTGTCTCCTCGTCCTCCTCTTCCTCCTTCTTGCCCTTGTCTCGAGGTCCCTCCTCCTTCTGCTCCTCCTCCTCCATCGGCCATGGCCCAACACTGTTCCGCAGGTAGTCGACGTAGGTGGCAAGCTGTGGCCGGGCAAGGAGCTCGGCAGGAGCAAAGACCCCGAGCAGCTCCCCAAACTCCCCCTGCTCCTTCCCCACCTCTCTCGCGTCCTCCGCCTCCTCGCACGCCTGCACAAACTTCTGATGCAGCTTCCTGCATGCTCGCAGGGCCGCGAGAGAGTCTCCCCCCAGCTCCTGGAAGTGCCACCAGCTGCAGGTCCTCGTGAGAAGGAGAAGGGGCAGAGCAGGCGAAAAGAGGAGAGGGAGAGAGGAGGAGAGGGAGAGAGGAGGAGAGACAGAGAGGAGGAGAGACAGAGAGGAGAGGAGGAGAGAAGGAAAGCAGAGACGGAAAGGAGGAGAGGAGGAGAGCAGAGGAGAGGGGGAGAGACAAGGGGGGAAGGGAGGGAAGTTGAGGGAAAGAGGAGGCGAGCCAAGAGGACTGGAGACAGCAAGGAGCCTTTCTCACCTACGACATCGCGCATCGATTCTCCCCGCCGTCAGCTCCTCTGCCCAGCACACAGCAACGCTCTTCGTCCATCCTTCCTCCTCGTCAGTCCCTCAATCGCTTCACGCATGCCTTACCATCCAACTTGGTCTGCTTGCCGACAGTCTCCTCCTCCTCCTCCTCTCTTCATGTCAGCCCGGGCACTCCCTTCCTCTGCTCCTTACCGTGAACATGGTGAACCTTCTTTGCAGCTCTTCCTCCACCGTCTCCTTCAAGGATGCTCTGACAGACTCTCTCACTCTCCTCCTCGTCCTTCTGCTCCTCCTGCTCCTGCTCCTGCTCCTGCTCCTGCTCCTGCTCCTGCTCCTGCTCCTGCCTCCTGCCTCCTGCCTCCTGCCTCCTGCCTCCTGCCTCCTGCCTCCTGCCTCCTGCCTCCTGCCTCCTGCCTCCGCTCCTGCTCCTGCTCCTGCTCCTGCTCCTGCCTCCTGCCTCCTGCCTCCTGCTCCTGCTCCTCCTGCCTCCCGCTCCTGCTCCTGCTCCTGCTCCTGCCTCCTGTTCCTCCACCTCCACCTCCAATGCATCTCTGCCTTTTCTGAAGGCGAACACAAGGAGAGGAGAGTGATAGGAATAGTGTCTTGACTTCTACTGTCTGCTACCCTCCCTTCCCCTCCTCTCCTCTCCTCTCCTCTCCTCTCCTCCTCTCCTCTCCTCCTCTCCTCTCCTCCTCTCCTCCTCTCCTTGTTTCCTCATCGCTATTTTGCCACAATTATATGTTAGATGTTGACGCACCACCAGATCTTTGAAGGTACTGGATTGCAACTTGACCCAATCAGCAAACATGTTCTCGTCGACTCCAAGTAAGCATTCAACATCAAAACCAAATTAACAGTTGTGGTCAAGATTTAGCTAATTGTTGTCATCTATTCATGATCACGATTATAATGATGATGTTGAGATGATGATGAATTGAGGAATACAAAAATTGAGAGTTCATGGAGACAGCATGGACTGCGACGATAGAAATCTGACAACATTTTTCAGGTTGCAAACGAATATCGAGGTTTGTAACTGACAATGTCTGACGTTCTTTCATCTCACACACAAGCAAGAATGTGTTTGCTGTAGGAGACATTATCAAGTTTCCGCAGACCTTCGGGGAAGAACTCACAGTACAGGAGCATGTGACTCACGCGAGAGCGTCTGGCAAGGTGAGAGGGAGAGGGAGGGAGGGAGGGAGGGAGGGAGGGAGGGA